CTCACCCCCCAACCTCCTTACAGTCACAATACAACAACAAGCAGAAATATCATGAGGGTAAAAGGAAATGTCAATTAAGGGATTACTTGATTCCATACCAAATTCTCCCCAGCAACATCGTTTAAATTGTATGTCAGACTGTACAGAGAATTTCTTCGAATTACCAATGAGATCTTGAAAGTGAAAGAGTCAAAAGCAAAAATATCACATCAACCACGCGATTGAAGCTTGTGCCAGGGACTATAAGCTTCACGTAGGCTCTTTGCTCCTCCCCGAGAGAAGGGTGATCAGCGGCTGGTAATCGTGACGGTTTTCTGTGGAGAGCCTCGAGGCGATTAAAGACCTTGTTTCTGGCGCACAGCTGTTTTCAAACGAGGTGCTCATGATTTTTAGAACCAACATGTTTACCTAACACGAGGATCCTTCTTTGCAAAAGCGCCGAATTCGTGTAACTATGTTGATGATACAAGATATACTGATCAAAGCAATGATTTCTAGTTTTTGTGAGAGCATGTCTTTGAGTTATTTTCGTTTTCAATCAAACACGCGGCAAGATGAGGGTGTGATGTTTTCTCTCACAAGTCTCACAATGAAGAAGGTGCGAGTTTTTTTTATTTATCTTTTACAAAAAAAAGCAGGTCCTGCTTAAAAATTAAGTCTCTCTCATTAAAAACTATCAGATTTTTACAGCGGATTTTAGCAATCTTTGTTAATGGTAAGGAGCTGTCAACAGCTTCACCAAATTTTCGCAGAGGGCAGGCGCTGGCGCACAGCTGTTTTCTAATGAGACGCTTACTTTCTGGAACCATCAAGTCTACCTAAGAAGTGGATTCCTGTTTTACAAAAGCACAGAATTCTTGCAACGATGTTGATGACACAAGATGTACTGATCGAAGAAATTATCTCTAGTTTTTGAGAGAACATCTCTTTTGAGTTATTATCGTTTTCAATCAAACGCGCGGCAAGACGAGGGTGTGATATTTTACTCACAAGTCTCACAATGGAGAAGTTGCGAATATTATTTTTTTTTGGTTTGTTTTATATTCTCTTTTGGAGAAAAAAAAACAGGTCTTGCTTGAACTTCCATAGTTTTACGACGGATTCTAACAGTCTATTAAAATTATAAAGCTATCAACAGTTTTCCCAAATATTCCCTTTGTAGAAAGCGGACGTTAGGACTTTATGTTTGTTCTCAATCAAGCGGGGCGGCATTTAACGAATCAAGGGGTGTGATTTTTTCGCGTGTTAAGTTTTTGCTGGGCTTATGCATTTACGCTACGGTAAACAATTAGCATTTGTATGGTAAATAGAGTGTTTCAGTAAGCAAATTCATTATCACTTACGACGAACTCATGAAAGATACATCTGTCTTGCTAAAATGCCGAAGTATCACCAAGTTTCGAAAGTTTTGGCTGTGCGAACGGTCAATAGAGATAAAGAATATCTGTTGATTTGGAAAGGGTACGGGAGCAAAGCTGATAGCTTGGTGAAAGAAGAGGACGATAACAGTGCCATTAAAAACTACGCCGCATCATCACTTCAAGGTAAGTTAATCGCACGGATGAACTTTGTTTTTATTTTTAGTTCTTTGTTGTTCAAACTTGTTCTCTTCTATTCATTCCAGCCAGGGAAAAAGTAGTAAATTATCTGGTATGCAAGATGGGCAGAAGTTGTCTACGAGAACTTCTCCGGAAAAAGGTTACGTCAGACGAACAACCGTGAAGGTTCCAGTTGACCAGAAGGTCTTCGAGGAGCTTTTTCACTCCATTGGTCAAGGTAGAAGCAAATTCAACGTTTAAGTCGAGGACCTCGACCATATACCACCTGTTGGGTGGTCAGAGCGAGCCTTCCGTACCACCACATATTTAACCTAAGTTATTGCAGTAAACATGCACATGCTGCGTTGTCTCTACCAGAGGAAGCTGTATTTCTTCCTCAACAGAACCAAGGGGAATAACAATTTCCTCTCCTTGTACGTTTAACTTGATCTGAAACAGATCAAAGGATGTGTTAATAAACAGTACTGAGAGGGAATTTTACAAGTTAAAAACTGTCTTGCGCACTTATTCCATACACTCAAATGATAAGTTTAGATCAAGTACTTATAAATTAACTATTAACAATCCTACACGGAGTTTAGATTTTCAGATATCCGTCGTCATCCGTGTGCACTCTACTGCGGTTTCAAGTCTCAAATAATCGGTTTTCAATACTTTCTCTACTCCAAACGTTTTCGATAATTTTAGTACGAGTCTAAGTCCAAAATTCGTCGAAATATGTATATTCAAGCGAAAACAAATTTTTGTAGAGTGACACCCGGCTACCTGAGGGAATGCAAGCGTGATGAAACGGTGGCTTGATAATTATTTGCGGAGGTAACCGTATTAATAATTGAAATAAAATCAATCAGTAACTCTAACGGTGTAGCAAAGAATATGAAATAAGGTAAAAACGAACATACCTCGATGGGAACAAACTCTTGGAGTCCTTTTAGCGATTGCACCACAAGGTTTTTTATCTTCCTCTTTTTGTTGTCTCTGGCTGCCTTTGTCAACTCGAAGAATCGCTTTTGCTAGGCATGAAACGATGCCTTTTTGCGTTCTTGGGATAGGGCGTCATTTAGCTGGACAACCAAGGAGTTGTTCTGATGTCTTAAAAACTCGTTTTCGCCTCTCAGTCTCCTGATTTCAGCTTCGTAAACTTCAATAAGTGGTAAGTGCGTTGTAAACGCGCTGGACACAGACGTAACCTTAAACTTTGAGAACATTTCTCTCGCCTAGATAAACGTGAACTAGTCATCTGTTCTTCTGTTAGGTCTTTTATAGGATTGTCGCAATGCTTAGTCAACCAAATCCCTAATGTAAGGCTGCACTTATGTTATGTTAATGTAACCAAACCATAGTTGATGAAGCGAGAATAAATCTAGAAACTTTTGTTGAACAAAGCGTTGTTGTCGTCATTCATTTAAGTACTTTGAGACTGCTTGAAGTTGGAGTGACCGTTCTACTTTTAAAAAAGGAAAGCAGATCTTGCTCGTACAAGACTTTTCTAAAAACTGTCAAAAATGAATTCTAGAAATGTTTTTAAAATGAAATACTGCTGAAAGTAAGTTCTTCGAGGCTTTCGCAGAGCGTGTTTGTTATCACTTTTTATTTGTTCCTTTTGTCTTTTACCTCGCGCGTGGCATCTAACGAAGGTGTGATTTTTTTCATCGCTTTAAGAAGATGAGAAAAGAGTGGGAGAGTATAGCAGGTAATTTAAGCGATTGGCGAAGGGCTAACACTCGAAACGTCAGCTTTTTTACTCTTTACGGTGGCCAGTTTACATTTTTAACTCAGTTGTTAACACTTAATTAATGACCTGTTTTTAATTTTGTCTAGTGTTTTCAAAGCACCTCAACGTTACATTGTCACGATAGGATTTCAATTGAGTTTCTGTTAGAAGGCGGTTTATAGCGCGGAAGAAAATTATGGGAGGCGATTGCGCAGCGCTTTATGCAAACTAAGAAAATAGGATAACTTTCGTAGCGCGAAATTTGATTGCCCTAAAATTTGGTAGATGAATCTGACAACGTCAGTGAAGTGATTGAATACACGTAACCTGTTGAGCAAAAAAAAGAGAAAGAAACTAGCAGAACATGACTATGCGAAAAAAATCTCACCTCCTGCTATCACACAAAAGGATGAATAGGTATCAATTAGATGTCGGTTTGTGTAAACACAAAAAAATCGTGGGAGGAGATTATTCAGTTTTTCTTGCTTACGAAGCGCGAAATTTAAATATGCTCGGATTGAACAGTCGAGTCGAATGGGAGAAATTGACTTTTTCCACTCGCCATTGTTTTTTTTAACTCCTTTCGTTGAATTGAAATACCGAAAGAGAAAGATACCCGTAAAACTACATGAATAAATGACGCGCGAGGCTTCGGACGTTATTACCAGGTTTAAATCACACGCTAGAGGAAGGAGAATATGAACCTTTTTGTGCACACATCAGGAACAAAATCTCATTCACGCAGCGCGAAATTTAAATGCACGCACGTTAAACAATCGAGCAAATGACGATAGTCTTCTACATGATTCAACGGCGTGGTAGGCTTTGGACGTTAATACCAGGTTACACATGCTCTCATCACCTTTGCATCGCACAGTGAGCCTCTAATTGAATATGTCTTTCGCCAGTTTTAAGCAATATAAAGGAAAAAACGGTGACATCTCTTTACTTCAGATACGAAAGCTACAGTCGCCCCACCATCCACCCCACCGTAACTATTTGCATTCTAAAAAATCTACCAGAATCACCCCCACGGGGAGGATTTGTCTCATCATCAGCTTTGCCGATGGTTTAAATCTGCCGCTCGTATGATAATCGGAAATTTTGAAAAATCTCGCGTTTATTTTAAAGCTGTTTCCGCCATTGTTCCAAAGTAGCCATATACAGTCATTGTTAATCGTTAAACAAAGCCTGCTTGACTTTAAGCTGATCCGGCGAGTGAAAAGCAACGGAGTCAGGAAAAGAAAAAATGTGAGGCGAATGTTCTTCGGCGCGGAGGCTGTCCAGTGCGCTGCACGATCGTCCTTATGCTCCTCTTTTCTCTTATACGAAAAAGGAAAGACAAGACAACAAAAGCGAAAACACGCTGTTGACAACGTTCAGTTTTGCAGCCGTTTTCCTAAAAAGCGCAACTGCCTTTTAATTCGACTAAAACTAAGCCGGGAACTGAAGCTATCGCAATTTGGACAAGCGATTTTTATCATTGTTGTAGGGTTCTCGTATTGATGAAATTGTACATATTTACAGAGCACCTTCGGGGTATGATTTCGTTGCTCTTCACCAACTAATCATCTCAGTCGTTTACACCAACTTAGGCTTTATTTCATTATCAGTTCATCTGGGACTTAACCGACGAAAGGTTTGCATCGATACTGTAAAGCTTGGCATACAAAGAATATCCTGTTTAATTTCTCTCACAGGAAGCTTGTATTCCTCTTGCTTAAAAAGGATTCGTTCACCAAGGAAAAGAATAATTCATTACGCTCTAAACTGTGGCTGTTCCACCACCTCGGAGATATGTCCAGAAATGCATGCATCAAAGAAAATGGCGAAAATTCGTCAAAATCGTCACATCCGCCGAGCTGATTTTGCTTCGACGAATTCGACTAGAATTCGTCAAAATAGTCAATTCCGCCATGCTGATTTCGCTTTGACGAATTTGATTAAAATCGTGGAAAAGTCTAGAAAAGATACTCTGATCTGCGAGTAATAAACTATCCTATTTGTAAAAACCAATCCCCCCTAGCCCCAGGCCGCGCAGCCATCTATTTAGCTTTGAATTTTCGCGCGGATCTTGCAAATAAGAGAAGTGTGAACTCGCGTCAAGGTATTCGCAAGTACCTTTTTCAGCCGTATTTCAAAAATTGTCTGGTAAATTGCTCTTTCGTCGAGTTTCCCGTGTTCCTTGTGTTATTAGTATTGCCTTTGAACATATTTCTTGTTATTTGTATTTCCTATGTTACTTCCGATCTTGTAATTAGTCGTTCGGATCTTGATGTACTATGTTTGTAATACTTGATTTAGAAACCACCGGTAATGGCGTGGAAATAAACTCCTTTTAAATTTATCGCCGGTGCGTTGGTTATACTATTGATCTAAAAAAGTAATCATCGGTGAAGAAAAAATAACAACGACAAGAACAGAAACAAGTGCTCCAGTCAGTTAAATTGTTTCGTACCCAGCTCGGTCGTTTCATACCCAAACTAATAAAGTATGTTTTTCATGTTGACACCTGGAGAAAAAATATTAGACATACACGAGTATAAAAAATAAATGTGCGAATCGATCAGCGGTTTGTGTACGAACCGACTTAAATTTGGGTTCGAATCGACTGAGTTTGGGTACGAGACCAATGGGCAGGAAACAACCGTGAGCACGAAGCGACCGGATACAAATATAATTAGTTTGAGAGCCGGACTTCAGCTTGGTGTTGAGAGAAATACTAACACGGAAAGGACAAGTGCAATTCACCAGAAACGAAAGGAGACTGGTGATAAACTGGTGGAGATGGTTGATCTCATGGCCGTTCTAGGCTTGCTACCTGTCCCACTTTGCTCACACTTTCATTCGTTTATTTATTTATTTATTTGTTTGCTTTGTTTTTTATTTCGGCGTTTATAACTAATTTAAAAGGGAAAAACGCTCATCGTTTTTTCATGTTTATCCAATTTTGCTATTCGTGGACGTCATACAAAAATAAATGAAAGAAACCAGCACGTCTAATAAGACTGTAAGCCTGTTTAGTTTCATGACGTTGGCCAACATTACATACGTCACGGCCCACGTATCACTCAGCCGGCTAAAGATGATTTACTATAAGTTGCTCAATTTGTTGGTTGTCATCACACACTTGGATATGTTGGTTTTTTTGCAGGGAACACCTCATCGATTATCCAACACTATGATAGTCTCAGCAGGTGATCCAGAGAGTTCAACGAAGATGAAGCGATAGTCAAAGCCCCCTCGTGATCCCTGGAACCGAAAAAGATGAAAATGAACACTTATATCCGTTCTCGTGCAAACTTAAACTGTGCCAGGATCTCAGTCAGCAGAAATAAGCCAGAAAGCAAGCGCGCGAAAAATGTCGAGGATCACGCAAAGAAGAAGTAACCGCTGTTTGTCGCTTGCCACTCTTTCGCATCTCTCCGCTGACTGAGTGCCCAGTGGAACAAGCCAGTGCTAACTACATGTTGAGTGCATTTTACAAGCTCAGGTTACAAGGGAAGGGGGCAGACGATGAGTTGATGCGTGTCACTGATTCTGATGGTCAGAATCAGTCATTTAAAACTGAATCAGTCATTTAAAACTGAACTTGGCCAATTTAACATTATTGCTTGAAAATGTATTACTTTTCCCGCAGGTGGAAGTTTTCTATTACTCACTTACACCCCTGGATGGAGAGAGGTATCGGGAGAGGAAACACTCTTCCTCAAGAACACCACAAAATAACACACTAGGGTTTAAACCCAGACCTATGATATGGAGTCCGCCACAGCACCTGCCAGGACACTGTGACTCCTTGACCAATCACAGAGTATGACCTAACAGAAGCAAGAGTTCTGCAATTCTGCTTTCAACACTCAGCCACCTGCTTCTCAAAACTAGAAATTCAAGTTACCTCTTTCACATCAACATGAACAGTTCCTTTCCGTTTGGGTCCCGACACATAAAACTTGACTCTCATGTAGTTCTCACCATCCACTAAATATTCTTGGTAGCTGTAAGAATAAAAAAACTCAATGTGAAAGTATAAAAAGAGTAAAACTGACTGACTCACAAAACTGCCAGAGTATTCCCCTGTGCCTGCAGCTTACAGAAACTCGAAGTATTGCAACTAGCCATGGATGGGTGGATGGATATGAGTCCACCCCAAATTACCCATTGCAAGTAATTTTTAAGGTTTTCCAGACCGTTTACAAACATCTCGTAATACTCCTGAGTGGATAGAGGAAGTAGGACCATATAGTGCCATGCCCTTGAACTTGAAAAAATTACCCCTGCCACGGCTTAAACTTAGAAGTTTTGAAACAGAATCCAGTGTGCTAATGCCAAGGCCACTGTACAGTATTTCCTACTGTTACGAAGGAAAATCAGTCAACAAACCCAAAATCAGAGTGAAAGAGAGGTATAAGAGTTCAAGAAAGAACCATGTTTTAGTCTTGACCAGTTTCTACTTACGTGAACATGCACACAATACATGGGCAAGGTGGATAAAAGCTACCAGTGAGTGGTCACTGGTTACCTGATGCTCCAGCAAATGCACATTGCTGCTTATGAAAATACTATCTTCCTGAAAAACCACACTGGAAATATTTTTGTGAATCTCCTGCTGATTCAAATCCCATTTCAAAATTTTGCATTTTCATCATTCTGAGCTCAAAGTATCTGACAGAATACAGTAAGTACCTAACATGTCTTCTTCTTCCTCTTGAACTTGTCTCTCCATGTCCCATTATTGGTTCTCCAATTGCTTCAATTACCTGTATTGAGAGGCCATAAGATCAGTAATTATCTGAAAATTAGGACCCATGAACCTACAGAACTAAAAAAGCTAGCCAACAGTTCTAAGTTGTCTGGAGTCCTGATTTAATAGTGGGTTGACAGGAATGACCACCAATTTACCTGAACTCCTGAATGGAGGAAAATAACTAGTATTTTTGTGAGTGGTTATGCCCTAAATGTTAAACCCTCTTAGAATAACATGGTGACATAACAATTGTTCTAACTGAGAAATGTAACAAAGATTTTAAGATGCTGATAAAGGGTCTATGCTTCTTAGTGGTGGTTTTTAAGTTATGTACAGTTCACTCAAGCCAAGTTTTTCATTCCTCACCTCTGCACTTGCTTTGACCTTTTTAAGAGCTTTAGCATACACTTTATTTGCACTGAAGCCAAAAAACAACTCACTCACCACGAACCAAATTAAAATACCTGAAAAAAGAATATGAACTGTGTTTCAGCTCCCCACAGCACAAACCCAACTTTTTAACCCTTTCCACCCTAACATCAGTATGTACATCCTCTTTAACATTCTCTAAACATTTCCTAAGGTGCTGAAAAGGAGAATTTTTGAACAATCTAGAGCTTTTTTCACACTTGATCAGTTCCTTTATTCTCCTGACCTTAATGTTTGATTCAGGGGTGATATGGTGAGGAGAAATTAGATGCCAGTCACTCTTAGGGGTTAAAAGGTTAAAAGGACAATAACTAAGGATGAAGGTATTTTTCATAAGTCCCCCCCCCTTTTCACCCCCTCCTGTATTTTGACCACTCGCTTGCAGAAATATTGTTGTCAATTAGGATTCAGTCATAAAGCTTGCATCTTAGCCTTGAAGACCAGCTGATGTATTCTACTGAATACAAATTTAGAACAGGAAAAGTTTTAGCAAGTTTGATAAGATAGGAAGAGCATAAGCAAAAGGTACAATCCTCAAGTCTAGATGCTCAACTATTAATTCCACAGCAACAGCTTTACCCTTTATATTTCCCTTAGGTCTGGATAAACTACTGAGTAAAAGTGATAATCAGATTATACTGACAGCTACCTGTGATGGCAAATCCAATGAGAATAATACCAAAGTAGCTGACATCTTTTCCAGCCTGTACAACTGGAGCAAAAGAGAAGAAAGAACATTAAGGGAATGTAGAATGTAGAATGAATGAGAGAAGAGAGTGCAGTCTCCTATTAGAGACATTTTAGCTGACTAATTTTTCAAAAAAAAATTTCACTAGTAAGAGTACACATTCCGTTCAAATAGGCAGACCCCCTTCCCCCAATTACTTGTCTTTTCTCTTAAACATGCATCCTCTTCCTTTTTCCCCTCTAGAGGGTGCAGCTCAAAAGCCAGTTATGAGGAATATTTCTTCTGTTTCTCTACAGTTACATTGTATGTTTATTGTTGCATAATTGTAATTTTCAAAATAGACTTGGAAAAGCTTCTGACAGTTCAAAAGATGGCAACTTCTTGATATCTGAGATCAGGGGGTATTTAATTTTGATCCCCTTATCCTCACCTAAAATTTTTTTTAGATTGCCTAAGTCTTCTGGAGTAACTGGTGTAAAAGTTAACTATTTTTCTGGAAAGGATGATCAAATTTACTTCTCTTTGGGAGATTTTATGACCTAGACAGGAGACTGAGAGATTTCTCTTGTATTTAGAGACCCGTGGATTGTCCCTAGTAGTGGTTTAACTTTTTAACAGAGAAGTATGGATTTCTATAACTGTTACTTTTATCCTGGCAGATGACTACCAAGGCAATACTACAGAATTATGATGATATGATATTGAGAGCCTCTAGGCCAAGGTACTCCGCCAAAAGCCAAAATCCAGCCACAAAAATGGAATTAATGGATTCCTTTGAAATTCTTTTTCTGAAATAAAGATTATTACCTTGATCGCTCCTTTTAGACGAGGGGGTTGGGAAAGAGGTGCGGAATGGAGAGAATTATATTTCAAGGCAACAACATTTTGACGTTGATTAAAATTTTGAGCTAACCTTTAGCACCAACTGTCAGCTGTGTTTGCGGCTGCTCTTGTGATTCGACTAACTCTTGAAAAACGGAACTTTCTTTCTTATCTTGCGATGATTTCGCGGAGAAGAATCTAAGTCGAGGTCTTGGAAATGCACTAGAGCACGTGAACATGTCTTCTCGTCCGACTCCATATTTAATGAGATCCTGCTTCCGAAAGACCAGAGGAGCAGCAGAACTCTGTCTTAAGATGATAACTCTTAAGGGAATACCTTTTGGTAAAATGGTGCACACGTTTTTCCATGGAAACATCTTCGAAGCTCAACTTTCAAAAATTCTCCAATTTAGACGCCATATTGATTTCTGATCACAATGTATCATGGGAAGCCTCGTCCCAGACTCCTGCATGGCAAAAACTCAGGACGAACAAATTGGACAGATTTTTAAAAGAACTTGAAAAAAAATTGCTTTTAATGTAAAATGCTGTTTCTGATGTTTTGTTTGAACGTGGCTTGCATTCATAGGATTAAATTTTAGCTCTCATAAGTGTTAGAACTATTTTGCAATCTATCTCAACAACTGTTAATTCCCAAATTACTGAACGTACTCGCCTTCTGTAAATTTTGAGGATTTCACGTTGTTGTTTTGTAGAGGACAGCCAAGGAATGTACAAAGTTTTAAAACACACGTGCTGAGCTATTATTCTGCCCATTAGATCTTTCGTTTTGTCACGTCTTCGTCGCCGTCGTCGTCGTGATTTGCTCAAGGTCCCTATTAATCGGGCGCTACTTTCAATTGAACTAGGGAGCCAGTGGTTGAGAGCGAGTAAAAATTTTAGGGGGTTCTTCTTTCTCTCGAAGGTGCCGTTATTGAAATATGTTACTTATCGGGACGCCCTCAGTTCAGCGAGTTCAACTCAAATATTTGTTGTCCGATTTGCCTTGAAAAAGACCGTTGAACAGTTCTACCACTAACATCACAAAAATTTATCTAAATACATTCAGTGTATCACTCATTTCTTTGGCTCAATTGCTTTTAAGAAAGCTCGACAGCTCCAGGTGTAATATCGTAAATAGTTGCACCTGACTTCAGCTCACTACGCCTTTAAAAAATATCAGTTTTTTTACCACGATCAGGGTCATCTTTCAAAAAAAGACCGGATCAAGCCATAAACTTTTTTCTTTTCTTCAATCGGGGGCTATTTTAATAACAGTGGTGATCAAAGAAGAATTCTCTTCTATAGTGACCTGTGGACATTAATTGGATTTTTAAAATTTAAAGCGTTTCTTGGAAAAGAATGTTTTCGAATCAGTCTCAAGCGACTAAGGCCCCATTTTGATGAGATCAAAATATGGTCTTTTGTTTTGAAATGTGGTTGAAACAGATGAGATGTGACAATCACATCGTTTGGTTTCGTTCTGAGCAAGAAAACATCGGGCACCTTCCTAAGTCTTGGACTTAGGTTACTGACTCCATCATTATTTTCGATGTACAATTAATGAAATACGTTTTGGCGGATTTATTTCAATTAAGGGCAAAGCGAATGTTGTTTCATTCGAATCACAGGTAGCCTTGAAAGTCCAATTTACTACGCTATTGTGAGATTTACGGCTTTGGAACCTGGAAGACAGTTTTTCTATGTCTTCTTAGAGTAAGCCCAGCTAATGTATTCCTCAAGACCTCAGTTCCTACACAAGCCACATCTTTGTGTTATGATACGTGACTTGACCTGCAAAGTGCGACACAACAAGTCATATAAATAAGTCAGTTTGAAAAAAAATTCGTGAAAATTAAGGACGATGGCGCTCGGCTCTGCAAATCAAACAATCTTTTTGTCAGATGTGCTTCGCGAAGAAGTAACTGATTAAAACCTGGCGTTTACCAGAAATATGGCGCATTTGCTCCGAAATGCATAATTCAATATATTTTTTAACATTTGTTTCGCATATAGTTTCTGGAAATCCCCGCACCTCCAAGTTTAACATCATTAATGGTTGCATCTGACTTGTTCTAAATTCCGCGCACAAAAATTTTTTTCTAATGCAATCTGGGTAATTTTTTTTAACAAAAGATTCGATCAAGCTACGAACTTTTTTATCGTAACTTTAATCGGAGGCTTCTTTCAAATTTTTCATGAAGCGACCTCCAATTACATAATGGTCGCTATAAAAAAAATTTTGTTGCCTTCAACCACCCCCTACGAAATTGCACCTCATGAGGTATTCAGTGCTCAGTGAGCCGAACAATACCATCGCAACACTTTCATTGGCCAACTTGGTTTGGTCAAGAGAGAGAGAATAGAGAAAATCTCATTTCTGGAAGCAGAAACACTTTACTACAAAGCATGTTTAATTCAATTTCGGTCTATTTCACAGCTGAGAAACATCTCTCACTTGAAGTGACCTGAAATAATGTTATCAAGACCTTCCATATTGTAAATAACGTCTTGAATCACTTGATATTTAGTCACCACACTTCTTACTGCAAAGCTGATGGTTTGCCTTAAATGCTGCACGTAATATAAAACAAAGTTTATCAGAACAATATCAGTTCAACTTGATCACAGCTCATTTTAGGTAAATGCGTGTCTGGGAGTTACGGAACGGTGAGGTAGAAAAAGAGAGAGACAGGAGGTACCAGCGTTTGTTCGTTTGATAACTCGACCAAGTATCGATAAATTTCTCTTTTCTCTTTTCCTTGTTTTATTTTTTAAATCTGTTAGTCGCTAATTGGCGGCTTCTGACGAAATTTTAGTTGTCAAATATATTTTTTACTCACCATGGCGACCAAATGGTCGCAGCTTGGAGCACTTGAAGACATTCACTGAATTTCAAGACGCAACGCTTTTCTCGGAAAAAGCTTTTTGCGAATCATTTGCATGCGACTGAGACGCCATTTCGATGAGACTAGAGAAATGAAGATTCTAATAAGATTTTCTGCTTTGAAATTTCGTCAAGACAGATTAGAAGTGACAATCACATCGTTTGGTTTCGTTCTGAGCAAGAAAACACGATAAACCCTCCCAGGCCTTGAAGTTTATGTTTTGACTCCATCATCTTCTTATTGAATAATGAATGAAAGGTAAGGAGATATTTCCATTAAGGCCAAAGCGAAAGCTGCTCCTTTCGAAATTACAGGTAGATTTAAAAATCCGAATTACTGACGGTATTTTGTAAGATCTAAGGCTTTAGAACATTGATGCCGGTCAAACTTTCTGATCGGCATCAAGTCATGAATTTACATCAAGTCATTTTTTTTTTCCTTTAATCGAGACTGTTTAAATAACAGTGATGGTCAACAAATAAGCTGCGGGAGACATTAATCGACTTTTTAAAACAATTTACGCTTCTTGGAAGAGACTGTTTTGCATGCGACTGAGACGCCATTTTGATGGGCTTAGAGAAACGGATATCGTTATAAGTTTTTCTACTTTGAAATTCCATTAAGTCAGAAAAGAAGTGATAATTACTTCGTTTGGTTTCGTTCTGAGGAAGAAAACATTGTAAACCTTCCCAGGCATTGGACTTAGGTTACTGACTCCTTCATCTTGTTAATAAATATTATAACGTAGCTAGCAGAGCCGCGCAATCAAATTCAGTATACGTAAGCGTACTCAAAATCCCGATAGTGCACACTGATAGCGTGAGAAAATCGCTTCGCCAGAAATTTTTTTTTTCGCGAGAGCGGCCATTGTCAGGGCGGGGGAAAAATAATATATTTCGCGACAATAATGGATACAAACAGAGACTCGGCCCACCAGTCCCAAAACGAAGACAATTTTCCGACCTTTTCCCTTGGGCTAGAGTTCTTAAATGAGGCAGAAAAAGAGAAAAATAACGGAAAAGGAGACTCGGCACCAGCGCCGTCACGATTCGCTTCACTGTCCAAGGGTGAAATGCAACAAATTTTGACAAAAAGACACTCTGGTAAAACCAAACAAATGACAAACTGGTCTGTTTCAACCTTCAAAGATAAGCTTAAATTTTTCCGTTTTAAAATTGTTAAATATATATTTACAGTTGTTCTCGGAAATTGTAAAACTCACGGAAAAATTGTCTGCAAAACACAATTAATACATATTTAATTACATCAAATTACAGATGTAGCGATAACAGTCTTTCTGTCTGGTTTTCCCTCACGAAAATAACTTTTAAATGGTTTCTTTTTTAAAAATAAAGAATTTTGTATTTAAACTGCAATAAAATAAAACTCGAGCTTTCAACAGAAAATTTGAAATAAAATCAATTTGGACTTATCGGGACGCTCTCAGTTCGGCAAGTTCAACTGAAATATTTGTTATCCGATGTGCTGTGCTAAAGACTGTCGAACAGTTTCGCCATCGATATCGCACTTCCGCATCTGGATGCCGATCAGACTTTCTGATCGGCAGCGAGTTATGAGTTTACATCAATTCATGAATTTTTTTTTCCTTCAATCGAGGCTGTTTAAATAATAGTGATGGTCAACAAAGAATATCAACAACAATGAGCTGCGGAAGACATTAATCGACTTTTTAAAACAAACTAAGTTTGTCACTTCAGTAGAAAGCTCTGGTAGAACTCCTTATACTTTCTGAAATATCCGTTTCTCTAAGCTCATCAAAATGACGTCTCAGTCGCATGCAAAACAGTCTTCCATGGAAAATGTAACTTTGTTTCCGTCAAATGCAAGACTGAGTTGTTTCGCTCTTTACATTTATCGTTGGATTGCAAGCGGTCAACTTTCTGTTAGAGACCAGAATCTAGTTAGCATGATAACAAATTAATTTGCATTTCAAAAGCAGCAAGGTTTGTTTACCTAATTAATGTTTACCTTTGGAACTTTGGAACTTTCTCACGCAGGCCACAGCTTTATCAGCTTGATGGCATACCAAAATCACACTGCGATCACGTGCGTGGCCTTTAAATAGAGGTGACAAAGAATATTATTGGAAGAAAGTTTCCCTTATTGATGCGTCACGGGAATCATGTTACTGAGACAGCTGCGAACAACGAAGCATTCTTGGTTTGCTTAAAAAGTGGGAAATTATTTCCTAGCCGTTCAAAGTTTATTCGGCTTTCCTTCGAATTCACCCGCTTTTACGTTATTTCTGGTAAGTCACTCTTTGTCCTCCATAATATCCGATTATTTAAGGCCGAGTTGTCGTGTCGTTGGCTCTCAGCACTAGACATCGATTACTAGCTGGCACACCTAGCTCGCTTCGCTATTCGACTTAAGTTTCTCTGTTGCCGACACGATCTTAATCGATCGCTTGTTTCGTTTTAAATTTGAAGATTTGTAAAACATATTCTTTTAATGCTCATGGTAAGGAAATTTCGCTTGGTTCCGATAGGTGCTGCACATGTGTTATATCATT